GGCCAACCGCAGCTGCCGCGGGGCACGCCGGGAGCTGTAGTCCTCCCGCTCCCGCCGGGAGGCGGGGCCGCGCTCTGGCCACCAGCCAATGGGAAGCGCGAGTGGACCGCGGGGCATCACGGGAAATGCAGTCCCGGGTGGGAACGGGGAGAACAAGGAGATTTTTACCTCGTGTGTGGAATAGTTTGAGTAAATAATGAGGCAAACAAAGGGAAAAGGTGAAAGACATCTGAAAAATTGCCCCACGTTTTCAAAGACTTCTGATAAATGCCCCCAAATTCCCCCCTCACAGCAAGAGAGACATTGAGGGGGGGCTGGAGCTTGGAAGGGGCTGGAGCAGCAGGAGCAGCTGAGGGAGCTGGGGGGGGCTCAGCCTGGAGAAAAGGAGGCTCAGGGGGGACCTTCTGGCTCTGCAACTCCCTGACAGGAGGGGGGAGCTGAGGGGTGGTTTGGGCTCTATTCCCAAAAAAGAAGCAACAGGAGGAGAGGAAACGATGTCAAGTTATGCCAGGAGAGGTTTAGGCTGGATGTCAGGGAGAAATCCGTCATGGAAAGGGTTGTCCAGCCCTGGCACAGCTGCCCAGGGCAGTGGTGGGATCACCATCCTTGGAAGTGTTCAAAAAACCCGTGGATGTGGCACTTGGGGACATGGGTTAGTGCTGGCCTCGGCAGCGCTGGGTGAGGTTCAGACTCAACGATCTTGGAGGTCTTTCCCAACTCAAACAATTCTCTGATTCCATTTCCTCGTGGAAACATTTACTCTCACTTCAACAGGAGCCCAACAACTGCTATTGACCTTTGTAATAAACACCTGATTAAAAATAAAGAACCTGGAAATCGTAACGATTTGTGGAGATAAACCCAAGGTCGTGCAGGGCTGGGGGCACAAGGGGGGGCACACGGAGCCGTCTCCAGAATCCTCTTCCCTAGATTAGTGGAATAAGAAGTGTCTGGACCTTCAAACGCCGGCGAAATTGTTTGGAGGATTAGGATCAATTCTCCGAGGAAGAGCAAAGGGACAGCAAATAGACAGGAGATGTGGATGAAGCAGGGAAAGGAGTCGGGGAATAAGAGGAAGGTTTGGTGCCAGAGTAGTAAAGGCAACAGATTAAAATGAAGACAATAAAGGAAATAAAGGCAGGTCATAAACAGGTTTTCCTTCTAAAGGAGGAATTAAAAAATGTGCCTGGAAAATAAATCCATTACTTTTGCTACGCAGGGAAAAACATGAACATCCCATTTTTTTTTGCTGTGGCGATGCTGCTGCTCTGCTTTGTGGGTGTGGAGATGATCTTTTTTCTTTTTCCTGTTTTCTTTCCACCTGCAAACCCAATTTCTGGTTTTAGGCTGGTTCACCACTGATCCCTTTTCACTGAGTGGCAAGACTCCTGCAGCTCCAGGTGGAAAAGGGACAGAAAAGGGGCTTGAAGCAGAGCCTGCCTCTGGTTGTGTCCAGAGGGCAAAAAGTGGAGCAGAAAACAGGGGGGGAAAATGGTATTTTATAATTTCTTATTCATTTTTCCTTAGAGATATTGTTAAAATCAGGTTGTTCCAGTGTCACCTCCCCTCCTACCCTCTCCCTGCCACACTGGAAAACCTAGCCATCCTCAGGAATGGGGAGATGAGGAGCAATGATCCATTCCAGGGACACATCCTGCCCCCTGGAGCGAACCCGCTGCCATCCTTGTACCGTGTCCTGGGAGTTAATCATTTGCTTGTTTTAATTAAAAGTGGCTGCAGCTCAAACCTCCTTCTGACCCCACAGCGACATTTTCCTGCTCCCTTCTTACCCCCGAAGCTCCGAGGTCAACCTTTATCCCAAAAACTCGCCCGTCACTCAGGTTTGTTTTCTTTACCTCTGCTCGGAGCCCGAACGATCCGAAAAAGGAAAAATAAAATCGTTTTGCAGCCACAAAGGCTTTGCAAGGCAACTCTCCCTTCTCTAAAGGTTCCTTCCCGTCTCTCCCATGAATATGGATGATAACCCAAATCCCTCTCACAAGGGAAAACCCCCCCTCCCTCCCCTCGCAGCTCGAGCCAGATAATTGATACAGTCCCTAAATGTTGACACGCAAAATGTTTTGTAACAACAGAGGGGAGAGAATCTGTTTATCTAAAACCACATTTGGAGTGACATAAGACTATCACTTTTTTGGTTAAATACCAGAAAGAATATCAATTCTTTGGCTGATATCAATCCAACCAGATCCATTTCGACTGACAACTCGCGTTTCCCTGGATTGGGGAAGGAGAGGAGGGGTTGTTGTTTCCCCGGATCGACGACTGTTCAGTCAACAATGAAGTTTTCTTCCCAATTTTTCTGGAGGGGGAACAACCCTCAACAACAGGCGCTTTGTGAGCTCATCTAGAAACTTTTGGGAGATTTTGGGAGCAGGGGTGGCCTCTGTGGGAAGGTGCTGGAAGCTTCTCCTGCGTCCATGGAGCCAATTCCAGCCGGCTCCAGGACGCTGGACAAGGCTGAGCCCATCAGTGATGGTGGGAGAACCTCTGGGATAAAATGGGGAAGAAGGAAGAGGGAGAACTGGTGTGGAAGAGAAGAGGGAGAGAGGAGTGAGAATGTGTGAGAGGAAAACCCTGCAGACCCCCAGGGCAGTGCAAAAGGAGGGGCAGGAGGAGCTCCAGGTGCTGGAGCTGAGATTCCCTGGCAGATAGTGGTGCTGTGGTGGGGTGGCTGTAGCCTTGCACAGCCCACGGAGGTCCATGGGGAGCAGAGATCCACAGGGAGCCATGGAGACCCCACACTGGAGCAGGGCAATGCCTGAAGGAGGCTGGGATCCCATGGGAAGCCCACGCTGGAGCAGGGTCCTGGCCGGAGCTGTGGCACCATGAAGAGGGGAGCCCACACTGGAGCAGGATCCTGTCAGGACTCGTGATCCTGCAGCCTGTTCCCAAGGGATTGATCCCTTGGAAGAAGGGATCCACACTGGAGCAGTTCATGGAGAACTGCAGCCCCTCGGAAGGACTCAAACTGGAGAAGTTCATGGAAAACTGTCCCCTGTGGGAGGGACCCCAAACTGGAGCAGGGGAAGAGTGTGAAGAGTCCAACTCCTGCGGAGGAAGGAGCAGAGACAATGTATGATTGTAGCCTCCGTTCCCTGTGGGAGAGAATTCAGGAGTCTGGGAAGAAGGGAAGGGTGGGGGAGGGTGATTTAAGATTTGGGTTTATTTCTCACTGCCCTGCTCTGATTTGATTGATAAATTAAATTAATTTCCCCAAATCGAGCCTGTTTGCCCATGACAGCAACCAGTGAGTGACCCCTCCCTGCCCTTATCCCAACCCACGAGCCTGTCCTTGGATTTTTATCTCCCTGCCCAGCTGAGGAGGGGAGTGAGAGCAGCTTTGGGGGGCACCCAGGACCCATCCAGGGTCAGCCCACCACCCTGAGGGAGATTTGGGGGTCTTGGGGAGCCACCCCACACGTGACAGCTGGGAGTGGGGCTGGGCTTCCTGCTGGCTCCGGGAGGGAGTCACAGGAACATTCCTTGTCAGCTTCCATCTGCAAAGCCAGATTTTAAGAAAACTCGAGGCGGGCAGCGAAACTCCGGCTTGGAACAACAAACCCAGCCAGTTCTTCCCGCAGGGACGGGAATTATTTCCATCAGTCCTGAGTCTGTGCTCAAGACAAGCAGAGACACCCGATGGAATCACACACGGGCGTTCCAGCAGGACTTTAAATCCTTCTTTTTCCCCGGCTTCCAGACTCCAGTTCTCCCAGTGACTGCTGCCTGGGGAAGCCCAGACTGGTCCAGTTAGTCCAGGCTGCTTTTCCTTAGGCTGGATCATCTTTCAGAGGGTCACAGCTCAGCGCCCTGATCCCACAAAACAACGTGCCAAACATTTCCCTGCCCGGCCCATCCAGGCTCTCGGGGTTAACATGATCCCCCCCCCCGGACAGGTGCTGAGCTCTGTAAGGGCCTGGATCCAGCTGGATGAAAAATAAACTGGGATTAGAGCTAAGGAAACTCTTCTGTTGGAACAGCAAAGTCATTTACAGGAGCTTAAGGGGAGTTAATTTTTGAGAAGGAAAAGGCACGACTGGAGAAAGCAGCAGGTGCTGATAAGGAAAACGGCTGAGTGGTGAAAGGTGGGAGGGATTTGGGGCTGAGTGGCTGCAGGAGAAGGTCTGGGAAGTGGATCGGTGCAGAGGAGAGGGAGGATCATCATCCCAGAATTGCCCATTCCTGGGAGCACCAGCAGGGATGGAGCCAGGTTTTCCCACTAGGCATCCCAAGGCTGATCTCTCTGTTCTCTGGGATGTGACAGGAGCTCTCCTTTCCTCTCCCTCCTGGGGTCCCTCTCCTCTAGTCCAACTCCTCAGGAATGGAGGGGTAGAGTCAGGACGAGCAGCAAGGGAGCTGCAGGCAGACAGAATCATGGAATCTAGGCTGGGAAAGCCCTCGAGATCATAAAATCCAACCCTTAACCCAGCACTGCCAAGGCCACCACTGACCCCTGTCCCCAAGTGCCACATCCACAGGGATTTTAAATCCCTCCAGGCATGGGGACTCCACCCGTGCCCTGGGCAGGCTGTTCCAATGTTTTACGACCCTCTTCATGAAAAAATTTTCCCAATATCCAACCTAAACCTCCCCTGGAGCAACCTGAGGCCGTTTCATCCTGTCCCTTGTTCCCAGGGAGCAGAGCCCGACCCCACCTGGCTCCACCTCCTGCCAGCTCCAATCCCCCAGGGCCATCCCAGCCAAGCTCCACGGGGTCACTCAGCACAAAACACGACTTTAAGACCCACACAAGACACCTGAGAGGCTCTTAAACCCCCTCAGGTGCTCCCATCACCTGAGCCTGGACCAATATTTGGGGAGGAACCCGAGGTTCCAGGGCTTGGGGAGTGTTAAGGAGCTGGAAAAGCTGCTGGAGGAGTTGGACACCGTCATCCTCCTTCAGAAAATAAACAGAGAAATGTCACTCACTGTCCAAGTGCCATCAGCACAGACGCTGTTGTCAATAAATCAGAAGTATCTAGGAACAGCTTGAACAACTTTTATTTTTTTTTTCTTCTTTAAAGTGCTGAAAACGTAAATAACAAGCTCTTTATAAACATTAGTTGCAACTATTAAAACATGAAACGCACAGAACCCACTTCCTTGGTACGTGAAGTACAGGGAAATCAACAACTCCAAACCCTCCCTGATGCTTCTTTTCCCACTTTGGGATGTTTTTTCCACCCCATGAGACAGGAAACACACGGTGGTTTCTTCACAGACGAGTCATAAGGCTGAGTCTACACTTGAGAACCCACATCCCTTCAGGTTTGTTCCAGTTAAAGGATAAACCTTGGTGGTTCTTCTGGCCCAGCCTGTGACCAGAAGGAGCAGCCAAGGAGAAAAGAAAATCACTTGGCCAAAGTTCTTGAAAAGCAAGAAACCCAGTCATGGGCTGACAACAAAAGCAGAGCCAACAGCACCCTGCTGGAACCACATGGAACAGTGTGGAAAAACAGAGTCCAAGAGAAAGGCAAAACCACAGAGGGATCGTTATGGCTGTGTTTAAAGTGGAACCAGGGAAAAGTTGCTGCTGGTCCAGCAAAACCTTGTGGTCTGCTGGGTTCAGCAGACAGGAACAGAGCTCAGCGTGGCTCCAACAAGGAGCAGGGATGCTGCTCCTGCCCCTGGGCTGCCAAATAAATCGCTAAAAAACAGAGATTTAGGTCACTAACTATGGAGATAAACCCCAGACAGAACATGGGCAACTTGAGAACGTTTCCCCCCACAATTCTTTTCCTCATCCCTTCCCTCCACAAGGTCCTCGAAACCATTTCCCTCTGGGAACTTCTAACAACAAATTAAACAGACTCTGGTTTCAGCGCTGTGGTGTAGCCAAGCTGCTGCTCTGATGGACAGAATCAACCTGGGGGGTGCTGGGGAAAACCCCACATTTTCAGGACAGAGGGGTGGAGAAACAGAGAACAGAGACAGGAGCATCTTTAAGATACCTTTTCCTAAACACCAGTCGATTTGTAGATACCTCAGAACTTCCAAACACTCGAGGACAGACACGGAACACCCATCACTGCTTGTTCCTTCTGCAGCTCCTGCATCACACCCAACGCCAAGGCACCAGTGCCAGAACTGCCTTGGCCTTTGGAGATGGGAGGGAGCAGGTATTGCTGGAAAGGCAGGAGATGGAAGGATATGGAGGAAGCACCTATTGCTGGAAAGGTAAGGGATGGAGGGAAAAGGTAGTGCTGGAAAGGCAGGAGATGAGGAAGCTCCTATTGCTGGAGAGGCAGGAGATGGAAGGAATAGGTATTGCTGGAAAGGCAGGAGATGAAAGGATATGGAGGAAGCACCTACTGCTGGGAAGGTAAAGGATGGAGGGAGCAGGTATTGCTGGAAAGGCAGGATTTGAGAAAGTACCTGTTGCTGGAAAGGCAGGAGATGAGGAAGCACCTATTGCTCTAAAGGCAGGAGGTGAGGAACCACCTATTGCTGAAAAAGCAAGGGATGGAGGGAGCAGGTATTGCTGGAAAAGCAGGAGATGAGGAAGCACTTATTGCTGGAAAGCCGGGAGATGAGGAAGCTCCTACTGCTGCAAAGGCACGATTTGAGAAAGTACCTGTTGCTGGAAATGCAGGAGATGAAGGGAGCAGGTATTGCTGGAAAGGCAGGAGGTGAGAAAGTACCTGTTGCTGGAGAGGCAGGAGATGAGGAAGCTCCTATTGCTGCAGAGGCAGGAGATGAGGAAGCACCTATTGCTGGAAAGGTAAGGAATGGAAGGAAAAAGTATTGCTGGAAAGGCAGGAGATGAGGCAGCTCCTATTGCTGGAAAGGTCGGAGGTGAGGAAGCACCTACTGCTGGAAAGGCAGGAGATGAGGAAGCACCTATTGCTGGAAAGGCAGGAGATGAGGAAGCACCTATTGCTGGAAAGGTAAGGGATAGAGGGAAAAGGTAGTGCTGGAAAGGCAGGAGATGAGAAAGCTCCTATTGCTGGAGAGGCAGGAGATGAGGAAGTTCCTATTGCTCTAAAGGCAGGAGGTGAGGAAGCTCCTATTGCTCTAA